GAATTTCTGAATTTCTGAATTTCTGACTTTTAGAATTTTAGAATTTTAGAATTTCTGAATTTCTGAATTTCTGAATTTCTGAATTTCTGAACTTTTGAATTTTTGAATTTTAGAATTTCTGAATTTCTGAATTTCTGAATTTCCGAATTTCTGAATTTCTGAATTTCTGAACTTCTGAATTTCTGAATTTCTGAATTTCTGAATGTCTGAATTTCTGAATTTCTGAATTTCTGAATTTCTGAATTTCTAAACTTCTAAACTTCTGAATTTCTGAATTTTCGAATTTCTGAATTTCTGAATTTCTGAATTTCTGAATTTCTGAATTTCTGAATTTCTGAATTTCTGAATTTCTAAACTTCTGAATTTCTGAATTTTCGAATTTCTGAATTTCTGAATTTCTGAATTTCTGAATTTCTGAATTTCTGAATTTCTGAATTTCTGAATTTCTGAATTTCTGAATTTCTGAATTTCTGAATTTCTGAATTTCTGAATTTCTGAATTTCTGAATTTCTGAATTTCTGAATTTCTGAATTTCTGAATTTCTGAATTTCTGAATTTCTGAATTTCTGAATTTCTGAATTTCTGAATTTCTGAATTTCTGAATTTCTGAATTTCTGAATTTCTGAATTTCTGAATTTCTGAATTTCTGAATTTCTGAATTTCTGAATTTCTAAACTTCTAAACTTCTGAATTTCTGAATTTTCGAATTTCTGAATTTCTAAACTTTAAAAAATTACCTGTTTCGCTGCTCTTAACGCTGTTGGTCTTGCAAATGCCGCTGGATTCTGCCGAATTTCTCTCGATATAGCAGATGAGAACGAAGCTGACGGTTTATTGTTGTTCTGGACATTTTTTTTTGTTATCAAAATTTTGAAAAATAGAAAAAAAACTTATTTTTTGAAAATCTGTAAAACATTCTGCCCCTTCCTTACCCCCGACCTTAACTTCAAGCCAATTTATCTCAGCTCCTATCAAAGATTTCAAAAAGTGGAAAACTGATAAAATCTATATCATAATTCGTACAATATTTTATTAGTTAATCACTTTTTGATATCTCTCCCAGTAACCCAGATAAATTGGCTTGAAGTTAGGAGATCATTCTTTTCATTTTTTTGTTTACTTTTTTAAAATCGATTTATCTCGGCTCCTTTAAGAGATATCAAAAAGTGGTCAGCTGATAAAATCTTTATCATAACATTACTAATATTTTATTAGTTGACCACTTTTTGATATCTTTCACATAGATAAATTGGCTCAAAGCAAGAAGATCCCAATTTTCATCCTAAATTTGTCAAATTTTCGCTCACCGATTTGGCCTTTTTTGGGGAATCATTTTTGGCATTTTGGTCAGTTGACATCTTGCGTTTCTGAATTTTTGGTGCTCCGCGAGCCGATGTCGACGGTTGGTCCCGATCTTCATCTTCTTTTCCCTCCACTTCCTCTCTGTCCTCTTCATCTCCTTCATTTTCTAAATCCACCACTTCCGGAACTACAGAACATCGATTCTGGATCTCGGCCCTTGGATCCTGGTGCTTCTTGGGCAGCTCAAGGGCGTGAAAGCCGTCAGAATCGAAATTCTGGCCACAACGATGGCCGAGAATCTTGGAACATGAGAAGGGGACACCTTCAGAATAGTCCATATCCGCGGAGATGCGCTTCCATTTCAGGCATTCGACTGAAAAAATTAAATTTTGGAAATTTATGGATTTATATTTGAACTTTGAGCCAATTTATCTCGGTTACTGTGAAAAGTATCAAAAAGTAATCATCTGATAAAATGTTTACCATAATCTGAGCAATATTTTATCAGTTGATCACTTTTTGATATCTCCAACAGAACATGATATAGATGAGTTTAAAGTTGAAGGTAGTGAGGGAGAGGTGCACCCCCTCCCCCATTATCATTAACTTTGAGCCCGTATATCACGCTTTCTGTGAAAGAAAACAAAAAGTTGTAAACTAATAAAATATTTGTTATAATTTGTGAAACATTTTGCTAGTTGACCATTTTTTGATATCTTTCACAGGAAATGAGATACATGAGCTCAAAGTTAAAGGTAGGGGGCGGGTGGTTTACCTCCTTCCTCCCCCCTTCCTCAACTTACAACAATAATTCCAGATCCCACACTCCTTTTCAATGATCTCTTTCCTTTCCTCAGAATCCCCTTTTTTGAGACAATTTCTCTTCGAGGAGCTGTATCCGAAATTCTTCCAGAATCTGTCCCACAGGTTCTCCTTGTCCATGCTCCTCGCATTTCCAACTTTCCATTCTTTTTCCAAGTGCTTTGGAATCCAGGTCTTGGTGACGTAGAGATAGTAGTGAGCCAGGTCCATATCAATCTTCTTGATAAGACGGTTGAAGTCTTTCATAATTTTGAATTTTTGGTTGGTTTGAGTCGTGGGGAAGATGGCATAGTCCAATTCGCAGAAAACGGAAATTCCGACGGAATTTTGAATCCGTTTGAAGAATGGTGATTTATGGCCATAGGTAATAAGCCTATTATTGACATACAAATGGATCCCATCGTCAAATTGACGGTTATTGACCTCGATACCGTAGACCGACTCAATAAGTCCCTCCGTGTATTTTTTGGGATCCTCCTTCAGATGTTTTGCCAGACGTTTTCTGTGTGCCAGCTCGGTTCGAAGTACAGCTCCATTAAGCCGTTCAACGTCCATCTTATAAGTGTCGGTCAGTTCTCGTGTACTTTTCATGGCATCTAGGTACTTCTTCTCGGCTTCGCGAACCTTTTCAGCTGAAATTTTTCCATTTTAACCCAATTTTGAGTCATTGAGAGCTTCGAAATGTTCAAATATCTATTTTCAAACTTGATCAAACTTTATAAATTAAACATTTTTGAGATCCTTATGTCGAGAGCTTTGAAATGAGCCTAAACACGACTAGTTTCGCTCTACTTTAATTTTTCATCCGCGTCGCGGTCGTGCGTCGCGTGTTAGGAATCAATTTTGAAAGTTTACCGATTCCAGGCATGGTTAGGCTCGTTTTCAAGCTTAAAACTTCAGAGATTCAAAAATTCTAGTTTCAAGATCGAAAAACGACACAGTTTTGAGTTTAGGCACAAAATTAGATTGTCCGAGTTTCGAAACTTTCCAATATCTCTTTTCAAACTTGACCAATCTCTATGAAATTAATATTTTTGAGTTTCTCACAAAGAGAGCTTCAAAAAAAGCCTAAACACGACTAGTTTCGCTCTACTTCGATTTTTCAGCCGCGTCGCGGTCGTGCGTCGCGTGTCAGCCATCAAATTTGAAAGTTGACTGATTCAAGGCATGGTTAGGCTCATTTTAAAGCTTAAAACTTTAGAAATCCAAAAATTCTAATATCAAACTCGAAAAACAACTCAGTTTTGGGTTTAGGCATGAAATGAGATTGTCCAAGTTTCGAAACTTTCCAATATCTCTTTTCAAACTTGACCAATCTTTATGAAATTAATATTTTTGAGTTTCTCACAAAGAAAACTTCAAAAAAAGCCTAAACACGACTAGTTTCGCTCTGTTTTGATTTTTCAGCCGCGTCGCGGTTGTGTGTCGCGTGTTAGGCATCAATTTTGAAAGTTAGATTTTCGGGATTTCGAAAATTTTAAAAATCGCCCTTCAAACTTGTCCAAATTCTGTGAAATCACTTTTTTGAGTTTCTCATGTTGAGAACTTTAAAATGAGCCCAAACACGACCAGATTCGCTCCACTTCGATTTTTCAGACGGCGTCGCGGTCGCGCGTCGCGTGTCAGGCATCAATTTTGAAAGTGGACCAATTCTAGGCATGATTAGGCTCATTTCAAAGCACTTGACGCGTCAGATTTAAAAATTGAGTTGTTTTTTTTTAAAGAAAATGTTCATTAAAGTCGAAACTCACCCTTCTGATGCTCCTCGTCGAGCCTCTCCCTGAATTTTTGGAGCTCTTCCTTATTGAGGACTTCAAAGTGGGATGTGCATCTGGCGGCCCATTTTGAGAGGAAGATCCTCGGCTCGACGATCTTGCCACGGAGATGGATCTGGAAAAAATTGCAAATTCGACCTTTTCGACCTATCAAAAATCAGATTTTCCAAAATTTCGAATTTTCCCGGGCCTTGTTTTTTCAAGAAAGCAGGTTTTGAAGCTCGACGTTAAAATTTTTAGCAAGAAGTTATGAGCTTCAAAATGAGCCTAATCATGCCCAGATTCGCTCTGCTTTTAAATTTGATGCCTAACACGCGACGCACTACCGCGACGCGACTGAAAAACTGAAGAAGAGCAAATTTAGTCGTGTTTGGGCTCATTTTAAAGCTCTATACGGAATTAACTCAAAAAAGCTATTTTCATAGAACTTGGTCGAGTTTGAAAAGAGATATTTGAAAATTTTTGAAAATTTTCAAAATTCTCAAAATATATTTTTATGGCTAAACTCAAAAATGAGAGATTTTTTGAGCTCAAAAACAACATTTTCAGCTTTTTGGGAATTTGAGCTTTAAAATGAGCCTAATGACTTGAATCGGTCAACTTTCATATTTGACACCTAACACGCGACGCACGACCGCGACGCACCCGAAAAACCAAAGAAGAGCAAATCTAGTCGTGTTTGAGCTTATTCTGAAGCTCTTGTTGTGCTGAGCAAAAAAATCATTAAAATTTTCGGTTAAAACTTCGAAAACGAATGAACATTTATAAAACAAAAATTATATTCTGATTCTTGAGATTCAGAGATGCCTAAACTCAAAACTAGGTAGTTTCACAAGTTTGAGAATAATATTTTCAGCTTTTTGGGACTTTGAGCTTTGAAATGAGCCTAATCATGCCTAGAATCGGTCAACTTTTAAATTCGATGCCTAACACGCGACGCACGACCGCGACGCATCCGAAAGATCGAAGAAGAGCTAATCTAGTCGTGTTTAGGCTCATTTTGAAGCTCTCAACGTGAGGAACTCAACAATACAAATTTCATAAAAATCGTTTGAGTTTGAAAAGAAATATTTGAAATTTTCGAAATGCTGAAAATTTTAAATTTCCACTCACCCTCATCTTTGGCCTCCTGTACAGCACGGAAAGGTATTCTCTCAATGAGCAATGACGTGGCCTCATTTGCTCATCTTCCATCCTGATATCCTCCTTATCATCATTGAAGTTCAGCATCAATGCTCCTCCCTGACCAGCTCTCCGAAGCTTCTTGATGATCACAAGGGTCCCATGGTCTCCCGGAATCCTATCAAACATGTCCCAAAGGGGTACAGTAAGCCCTGCGTGCTGAGCAATGACCTCATTTTCATAATTCCATCTTTTCTTATCCTCATCTCTTGGACAACATCGGTCTCCAGCGGCATACTTCGATGGGATTGGCACATAGATCTGCTCCGAACCCTCCGCATTCAAAAACGAGTGGGACAAAAACAGAGCCGTATGAACACCATCCTTTTTGGAGAGCACAAGCATGTCCTGACCCAGATAACATCCTCCAGTTTTCAGTCCATTACCCCATTTTCCAATGCATTCTGGTCCTTTTTGGGTTTTTCCAAATAGAATCACATTGAGCATGTCCTGTCGACTCATTCCAATTCCGTCATCCATCACGTGCAGTTCCTCCGCCCACTCGGTATCAACTGGAAAATCAGATTCCTCAAGTTTTGCGCTCTAAAATAAACCTAAGAATGTCTAGAATGTATCAACTTTCAGTTTTCGAGATTTTTGAAAATCTAATTTCACACCTAACTCAGTAGTTTTCAAGCTCAAAAACATCATTTTCAGATTCCTTACGTTTCTAGCTTTGAAATGAGCCTAATCTTGCCTAGAAACACTCAACTTTGAAATTTGATGTCTAACACGCGACGCACCCAAAAAATCAAAGTTCAGCAAATATAGTCGTGTTTAGGTTCATTTTGAAGCTCTCAAAATGATAAACTCGAAAAACTTAACCTCAGAAAACCTGGTAAAGTTTGAGAAGAGATATTTGTAATTTTTGAAACTCTGAAAATCCGAGTTTAGGCCTGAACTCAAAACAGAGTATTTTTTCTAGCTTGATTTTAACGTATTTAGATTTCTGAGATTCTTAGCTTCAAAATGAGCCTAATCTTGCCTAGAATCACTCAACTTTCAAATTTGATGGCTGACACGCGACGCACGACCGCGACGCGGCTGAAAAATCGAAGTAGAGCGAAACTAGTCGTGTTTAGGCTTTTTTTGAAGCTCTCTTTGTGAGAAACTCAAAAACATCATTTTCAGATTCCTTACGTTTCTAGCTTTGAAATGAGCCTAATCTTGCCTAGAAACACTCAACTTTGAAATTTGATGTCTAACACGCGACGCACGACCGCGACGCACCCAAAAAATCAAATTTCAGCAAATATAGTCGTGTTTAGGCTTATTTAAAAACTCTCGACGTCAGAAGCTCAAGAATCTAAGTTTCGAAAAATATGGTTGAGTTTTAAAAAAGATATTTGAAAATTTGAAACTTCCAAAAATCTATATTCTATGACTTAACTCAAAACTGAGTATTTCTTCATGTCGCGAATTCAGGTGTCTGAAGAACACCTCTTCACGACTTTTACCCTTTTCTGAATGAATTTTCTTCTTTTTCCCTTCAGTTTACATATTTTATTCACCAATACCGACGCCGCCCAACAACGATGCTATTTGAATTGCCGCCGACGGACTACTGTACCTGCTGATCTAACTCGGTCTTGCCGCGCACCAAGGAAACGCGCCTGATTTTGGGATTATTGAACCACCCGGTTTTTTAGGACCTCCCGGATCGTTATTAGTTTTTTGCTCCGTCTTGTTTCGATTTCTCCCATTATTATTTTCTAATATTCTGGTGTAATTTTTCTTGTCGGCAGAATGAATCCGGCAACGGATTCTTTCAGGTGTATCGTTGTAGGCATTTATAAGTAATAAATCGGTGTCTTAAATTCTGTGTTTTGTTGTCTTTTTTCTCTCTTTAGGTTATCGTGTCTCAAGGGGCCGTACTAAGGCTATATACCTGCAAAATACTTCAAGCACGGCATCATCACTTTTATATTTCTGAAGTTTTGAGCTTCAGAATGAACCTAATCATGCCTAGAATCGGTCATCGTTCAAATTTGGTGCCTAACACGCGACGCACGACCGCGACGCGGCTGAAAAATCAAAGTAGAGCGAATCTAGTCGTGTTTAGGCTTATTTCAAAGCTCTCGACACAGGAATTTCAAAAATGCTAATTTTATAATATTCGGTCAATCCTGGAAAAAGTTATGCCTGAAAAAGAGAAAAAACATACCAACGTCGATATAGAAGTTGTTGGATCTAGCATCCGACGCGTTGTCCGTGAGCTCAGCGATCGCGGAGAAGGAGTTGGAATGAACAGCGCTGAAAATCAGAATTTAAGAAACTGAAATGGTAAAATTACCGTAAACACTCTAATAGAACGCCACCCGGACTGTTTACTTTGAGCCAATATATCTCACTTCTTTTGAAAGATATCAAAAAGTTGTCAACTGATAAAATGTTTATCACTATATCACCAATATTTTTTTGTTGATCACTTTTTGATATCTCTCACAGAAAATGAGATACATGGGCTCAAGTTTGACGATTCGGGTTTTAATATTTTTATGATTTTGAAATTTCAAAATACTGACCTGTTTGATTTCAAATATTTCACTGTCGCCGACATCTTGCGCAAGAGAGTAATGTCCTCCATTTTTTTCTGTAAATAATTGAATTCGAATTTCAAAAAATTCTAAAATTCTAAAATTCTAAAATTCTAAAATTCTAAAATTCTAAAATTCTAAAATTCTAAAATTCTAAAATTCTAAAATTCTAAGATTCTAAAATTCTAAAATTCTAAAATTCTAAAATTCTAAAATTCTAAAATTCTAAAATTCTAAAATTCTAAAATTCTAAAATTCTGAAAGTGCAAAATTCTGATATTTTTTCAGTAAATCAGTTTTTTCAGAACATTTCGCACCAAAAAACCCCGAAAAAACAAGAAAAAACATCATTTTTCAGTTAAAAATTCATTGAAAAAGTAAGAAATTCAAACATTCTTCCATGGCTATGCAAATGCGCTCCACTGAAATAGCCAAAAAAGAAAGGAACAACAAGAAACTCTCCTTGCCATTCTTCACACACATACACGTATTCGACGGCACCCCATGTCTGCGTCTCTCTGTTTCTCTGTTCTCTCTTCGTCAGTTCGCTGCAAGACCCGTCCGGTCGGCCGTCCTGGCCGACCGGAGGAGACTTTATGACCTCTTGCATTTCTCTATGCATCTGTGTCTCTGTCTCTCTCTCTCTTTCTCTCTCTCTCTCACTCTCACTTTCTCTCTCGTCTTCTTCTTCAAAAATTTTTTTGAAGATGGGAGAATCATAAGAACGTTCACCAATGTTCTATCTTTTAACTTTGAGCCTTTATATCTCTTTTTCTGTGATAGATCTCAAAAAGTTGTCAACTATCAAAATATTTTTGATAATATGATAAATACTTTATCAGTTGACCATTTTTTAATATCTTTCACAGGAAACGAGATATATGGGCTCGAAATTGACAATCTGAGTGGGCTTTTTTTGGAGTGTTAATGGTATATGATAACTTTAATATTGATTATCTCCTTTCCTGTTAAAGATATCAAAAGAACAATCTACTGATGCTATGTTTATCATGTTATCAGCAATATTTTATCAGTTAGCAACTTTTTGCTATCTTTCACAGGAAATGGGATAAATTGGCTCAAAGTTAGGGGCGGCTCACTCGATTACAATGAACCCTAACGTTCAACTTTGAGCCCATTTATCTCATTTCCTGTAAAAGATAGCAAAAAGTTGTTCACTGATAAAATATTACTGGTAATATGATAATCATTTTGTCTGTTAACAACTTTTTGATATCTTTTACAGGAAATGAGATATAATGGATGAAAGTGGGCGGTTTGGAGATTAAAATTTAAATTTTCAGAATTTCCAATTTTTGGAGTTTTTAAAGTTCAGAAACTTTTGAATTCTTAGAAAATTTCTAGAAACGGAGCGTAAAATAGAAAAATTCATTAAGTAAAAAAAGACACTGATAAATAAAATAATTTTCTAAATAAAGCAAAACATTTCAAAATATATACAAAAAAAAGAAGAGATCTGATTAAAACTAAATACCGTAGCCGTTAACTTTGAGCCCAAATATCTCAGTACCTATTGAAGATATCAAAAAGTTATTAACAGATAAAATATTGCTGATAATATGATAAGCATTTTATCAGTTGACAACTTTTTGATATCTTTCACAGGAACTGAGATATTAAAGCTCAAAGTTGACGGCCTGAGTGGACTATTTTTGGAGTGTTTACGGTACATGGTATCTTTGAGCCCAAAGAACCAAAAAAAATAGTTCCTGTAAAGGATATCAAAAAGTTGTCAACTGATAAAATGTTTATCACTATATCAGCAATATTTTATTAGTTGACAACGTTTTGGAACTGAGAAATTTGGTCTCAAAATTGTTTGGGGTGACTTTAGGGTTTACGGCATATGTTATCTTTAAGCACAAATATCTCGATTACTGTGAGAGATATCAAAAAAATGTCAACTAATAAAATATTGCTGATAATGTGATAAATATTTTGTTAGTATATCACTTTTTGGTATCTTTTACCGGAACCAAGATATTTTGGCTCAAAGTTGGCGGGTTGGGTGGGCTTCTATAAAATCAACTGGTGTATAAAATTTGAGCCTGAATATCTCGGTTCCTATAAGAGATAGCAAAAACTTTTAAACTGTTAAAATATTGCTGATAATATGATAAACGTGTTATCAGTTGACCACTTTTCGGTATCTTTCACAGGAAACGAGATATATAACCTTGAATTTGGCGGGTTGGGTGGGCTTGTATCAGAGGGGGGAAAACTGTTTCAATGTAAAAAGAATCCGGAAATCCAACGGACCAAGAAATATCCTAGGATTCCAATGACAAGAAGAACAAGAGTTAATTCACAAGACAAGAGAAAAATTCGTTTTTTTCGAAAATGGATTCCAAATTCGAGACTTTTCATATAGCTACAATAACGGAAAAAATTATAGAGGGGACGATATCGCCGACGAATTCTCCTAGGAATCTGGCGAATTCGAAAACGCCCATTTCGGATCCATTTTTTGATTCGATTTCGAGTTTCCCAAAATTTCAATTCCAGACCCATTTGATCGAAAAGTTCTGGAACTGCAGTTTCAGATTCTTGGATTTTCAGGTGAATTTGGAAAGGATGTTCACAGGAGGGATTTCTGAGAAGGGAGACTTGAAGTTCGGTGCCTGGGACGGTAATCCGTGGGAAGGATAAGGAGTAGAGGGTGTTGGGGAATCTGGAAAACATGATTTTTGGATGTTTTGAAATTTCAATTTTATACCTAAACTCAAAATTGAATAGTTTTCCAAGCTTGGCAGAAAAATTTTCAAATTTTTGAAGCTCTGAGCTTCAAAATGAGCCTAATCATGACTAGAATCGATCAACTTTCAGATTCGATGTCTAACACGCGATGCACGACCGCGACGCACCCGAAAAATCAAAGAAGATCAAATCTAGTCGTGTTTAGGTTTGTTTTAAAGCTCTCAACGCGGGAAATACTAAAAATGCATTTTCATGACGATTGGTCAAGTTTGTAGAAATATATTTGAAAATTTTGAAAATTTCAAAAATCTGAAAATCTCATTTTCTACCATAATTCAAAACTAGATAGTCTTCCAAGCTCAAAAGTAAAATATTCAAATTTCTGAAGTTTTAAGCTCTAAAATGAGCCTAATCATGCCTAGAATCGGTCAACTTTCAAATTTAAAGACTAACACGCGACGCACGACCGCGACGTACCTGAAAAACCGAAAGAGAGAAAATCTAGTCGTGTTTATAGTTATTTTACAGCCTTCTACGTGAGAAACTCAAAAAATGCATTTTCATGACGATTGGTTAAGCTTGTAGAAATATAATTGAAAATTTTTAACTTTTTTTTAATTCGAAAAATCTAATTTTATGCCTAAACTGAAAATTGAATAATTTTTGAGTTCAACGTTAACTTTTTCAAATTTCTTACATTTCTAGCTTCAAAATGAGCCTAATCATGCCTAGAATCGGTCTACTTTCAATATTGATGCCTAACACGCGACGCACGACCGCGACGCACCCAAAACTAAAAAGTGGAGCAAACCTAGTCGTGTTTAAGCTCATTTTAAAGCTCTAAACGTCTGAAACTCAAAAAATCTAGTTTCATGAAGTGTGGTACAGTTTGAAAAGAGATATTAAGATTTTTCGGAAAATATTCACAATTCTGAAAATCTAAACTTATGCCGAAACTCAAAACTAAGAAGTTTTCCAAGTTCGGCGTTAACTTTTCAATTTCCTCAAGTTTCAAGCTTCAAAATGAGCCTGAACATGCTTAGAATCGGTCCACTTTCAAATTTGATGCCCAACACGCAACACACGACCGCGACGCACCCAAAAAACCGAAGAAGAGCAAACCCGGGCGTAATCGGGCTCATTTTGAAGCACTCAATGAACGAAACTCAAAAATTCTGATTTCACAAAAACTGGTCAAGTTTAAGACGAGATATTTGAAAATATCGGGAAATTTTCAAAATTCGAAAAATCCAATTGTATGCCCAAACTCAAAACTAAGAAGTTTTCCAAGTTCTGCGTTAACATTTTTAAATTTCTTATATTTACAGCTTCAAAGCGAGCCTAAACCTGCCTAGAATCGCTCAGCTTTGAAATTTGACGCCTAACACGCGATGCACGACCGCAACGCACTCCAAAAAACAAAGTTTAACAAATCTAGTCGTGTTTAGGCTCATTTTGAAGCTCTTAACGTAAGAAACTCAAAAATCAAAATAAGAAACTCCAAAGACAAACCTCTCATCCGCTCTGACACGTTTTCCATCAAATTGGCATTTTTTCCGATACATGGTTCCTTTAAGCTCTTTCTCCTTCTTGATCACCTTCAAATCACTCAAGTGCATCAGTTCAATGTCTCCGACAAACTCCATTCCAACTGTATTCTCATTTCCAATCCATTCCTGTATCGAGATTCCCACTCCTGGACCCCATTTCTTCAGACGAATATTTCTATGATTGATAAGCCGATAATCAAAAAGTGATCCACTACAAATTGTCAGTTTTTGAGCGTTTTGAGCAATTGGATGTGTGAAAACTTCAAAATTATGGTATTGAGTCGCAAACTCTTTGAGTGGCTTTGGTCCCAGCATTCTTGAAATCCGGTCTAGTTCAGCTAAAAAATACAAAGTACTGTATCTCGTTAACTATGGAGGTTAATCAACACTTTTTTGATTTTCTCGTTCAGCGCGCCGAGAGCTTTAAAATGAGCCTGAACACGCCTAGATTTGCTCAACTTTGATATTTCAGGCGCGTCGCGGTCGTGCGTCGCGTGTTAGGCTTCAAATGTGATAGTTGGCCGATTCTTGACATGATTAGGCTCATTTTGAAGCTCTGAATCTCAGAAATCTAAATATCGCGCAACAAGAGCTTCAAAATCAGCCCAAGCACGACCCATTTTGAACAACTTTGAGTTTTCCGGTTTAAAGGCGCATGGCAAAACTCGAAAATTCGAAAATTTCAGAATTCTCCAAAACATGCATTGTTTAGGCTCATTTCAATGGTCTAGACATGCAAAATTCAATAAAATTAAAAATTTTCGAAATTTTCGAAATTTAAGAAAGTTACGGTCGATTTTTGAGAAATATGAATTTTTCGAAAATTTTTTTTTATAAATGTTCATTCGTTTTCGAAGTTTTAACTGAAAATTTTTATGATTTTTTTGCTCAGCACAACACGAGTTTCTGAATAAGCCCAAACACGACTAGATTTGCTCTCCTTTGGTTTTTCGGGTGCGTCGCGGTCGTGCGTCGCGTGTTAGGTATCAAATATGAAAGTTGACCGATTCTAGGCATGATTAGGCTCATTTCAAAGCTCAAAGTCCCAAAAAGCTGAAAATATTATTTTCAAACTTGTGAAACTACCTAGTTTTGAGTTTAGGCATCTCTGAATCTCAAGAATCAGAATATAACGCAACAAGAGCTTCAAAATAAGCCTAATGACGACCCATTTTGGACAACTTTGAATTTTCCAGTTTGAAGGCGCATGGTGAAATTTGAAAGTCTGAAATTTTCAATATTGTTCAAAGTGTGTTGTGTTTAGGTTCATTTTGATTGTCTAGACTTGCCAAATTCAATACAATTTAATTTTTTTGAAATTTTGAAATTTAAGAAAGTTATGGTCGATTTTCTATTTCTCACCATAGCTGAAAGAGAACCAAACGGTTTCCAACGTCTCCGCCTGAATTTTCAGTTCCAGCGGCAATCGATAAATTTTCGAATCTCTTGTGATCTTCAGAAATTCGAATTTCTTTGTAAATATCATAGGCCGATTTCCAAGTAGGTCAAAAACCAATTTTTTGAATGCCACGTGGATTGGAGCAGTATCCCAAATTGGAGCCAAGAATCCCAATGAGATATCCACAGGCATACTGTATGCGCCTTTAAATTGTGTCACCCGGAGCTCTGTGGTCCATGGAAAAGGAGCATTTTCCATTGGAAAATTTCGATTGAAAATGTAGTTTTGGGGATTTCCAATACAAAAATCGCCTGGCAAAAGTTCACCCTCACTCTCCATATCCCATTGAGCCAATTTTCCCAATTCGGTGTCTTTTGAATTCCCGTCAAGCCGTTTCAAATAGTACTCGTTGTCATTTATCCGAATTCTTCCAACAGAAATGGCCAGATGGGACAAATGAAGTGGTATTGATTTTTCGACTTTTCGAAATCCAGTTAGTTGGGCGCTGATGTATTGTCTGAAAAACGAAAATGAGCCCAAATATGACAATTTTCCCTTTTTTCTCGGTTTCGAATTTGACTTAAACGGGAACCACTCCATATGTTACCCGGGGATTCTGATGAAACATATGCTAAATGGTAGTACACCGGCTATCTAGAACAACCAAAAAATTATAGCGGCCGATAGAAAGATGCATAATGCACCTAAAAAGAGGTGCATAATTCGCCTAAAAAAGGTGTCAAGAGCCATAAAGATTACAATTAAAAGGTATACAAGGGCGCTCCACTGACGTTTTTGAGTCGTCAACTTTGAGCCAATATATCTCCTTTCCTGTGAGAAATATCAAAAAGTTGTTAACTGATCAAAAATAGCTGATAATGTGATAAATATTTTTTTTGTCGACAACTTTTTGATATCTGTTACAGTAACCAAGATATAAAGGTTCAAAGTAAGAATTATGCGCCACTGTTGGAGATGCTACAGTGGAGCAAACTTTGAACCCATATATCTCATTTCCTGTGAGAGATATCAAAAAATTGTCAACTAATAAATTACTTATCATATTATCAGCAACATTTTATTAGCTGCCATTTTTTTATATCTGTTACAGTAACCGAGATAATTTGCCTCAAACTTGACAGTATTCCTAGGAGATTAGAGAGGCAGGGACGAGGCAGATGGTGCGCCTAATTAGGGTCTATACTGTCTAATGACCCTAGACAAAAATAGACAAAAAAGGTCCCACATTGATTTTTAGGGTCCCGAAATCCCCAAATCCTCACCTTCTCTCAAAACTCAAATATTCCAAAACACAAATCGAACTCAATTTGGTCAGTGTTTTTGGCACTTCCGGTGGATCCATTTTCTAGAATAAATAGTGCGAAAGTGAGGGGAATTAGAGAAAAAAGCGTACAGAAATGTAAAAGTAAGCCTAATCCACGCTTTACTAGTACTAGTGAGTGTGTGTACCTCATTTACACACGATCCCCCTCTTTTTCTCTAAACCTCTTCTCCTTTTTACTCTCTCGCTTTGGTTGCCCGGGCAACATCCACCTCCCCCTTGCCTTCTGATTTCTCTATAAACCTCTTTTTCATATTTTCTGGGAAATTCTATTTTGGGTCATTTTTTTTTCTATTTTAGCCCAAAAAGTGGATCCCCCTGTGTGGTATAAAAAAACTACAAAACCTAAAAAACCAGCAAAATCGAAAGCAAAGCCTAATCATGCCTAGAATCGCTAAACTTTCAAGGTTGCTGCCTAACACGCGACGCATGACCGCGACGTGCTTGAAAAACCAGAGTAGAGCAAATCTAGCCGTGTTTGGGCTCATTTTGAAGCACTCCGCGTGAGAAACTCAGAAAGGTAAATTTTGTCGAATTTGGTCGTGTTTGAAAAGAGATATTTGAAAATGTTCGAAATTCTGAAAATCTAAATTTATACTTATACCCAAAAGTAGTAGTTTTCGAAGCCCGATGTTAAACTATTCAGATTTTTAAGATTTTGAGCTTTAAAATAAGCCTAATCATGCCTAGAATCGGTCAACTTTCAAAGTTGCTGTTTGACACGCGACGCACAACCGCGACGCACCCGAAAAATCAAAGAAGAGTAAATCTAGTCGTGTTTAGGCTTGTTTCAAAGCTCACAACGTAAAAAACTCAGAAAATCTCATTTAATAAAAATTGGTCGAGTTTGAAAAGAGATATTCGAAATTCTGAAAACCTGAAAATTTAGTTTTATGCCTAAACTCAAAATTGAGTAGTTCTTTGAGCTCGGCGTTATCATTTTTAGATTTCTGAAGTTTTTAGCTTCAAAATGAGCTTAATCACGTCTAGAATCGGTCAACTTTCAAATTTGATGCCTAATACGCAACGCACGACCGCGACGCAACCCGAAAAATCAAAGAATAGCAAATCCAGTCGTGTTTAGGCTCATTTTGAAGCTCTCAAAATAGAAAACACGAAAAATTCAACTTCACAAAATTTGGTTCATTTTGAAACGAGATATTTGAATTTTTCGAATTTCAGAAAACGCCTGAAATCGAACTGGGTAATTTTTCAAGCTCGGCGTGGAAATTTGCAGTTTTCTGAGATTCTGAGCTTCAAAAAAAGCCTAATCTTGCCCAGATTCGGTCAACTTTCAAATTTGATGCCTAACACGCGACGCACGACCGCGACGCACCAAAAAATCAAGGTAGAGCGAATCTAGTCGTGTTTAGGCTCATTTTAAAGCTACAAGCGTGAAAAACTCAAAAAACTTAAATTCGTGACGATTGGTCAATTTGGAAAGAAGATATTTGAAAATTTCGAATATCTGAATATCTCATTTTATGCCGAAGCTCAAAATGTAGTAGTTTTCGAAGCATGATGTCGAAATTTTCAAATTTTTGAGGTTCTGAGCTTCAAAATGAGACTAATCACGTCTAGAATCGGTCAACTTTCAAATTTGATGCCTAACACGCGACGCACGACCGCGACGCAACCCGAAAAATCAAAGAATAGCAAATCTAGTCGTGTGTAGGCTCATTTTGAAGCTCTTGACAAGCCAAATTCAAAAATCGAGGTTTCAGAAGCCAAATCGCTATCGATGTCCGACAATTCGAGGAATCGAAAAAAGCACTCCGATGAATCTCGAAAAACTATGCTTTGATTACGATGGTTTAACTGTAGATGCCACCAAATATGTAATAAAACCGAAATCGTGGGAAAACGAAAATTGGTATGAACAAATGCGTCTAGAAGTCTTACCAGGCCGTTTACCGCGGAACTTGCCGCCCTTACCAGGCGATTTGCTGTTCCCATTCCCAGAAGACTGGTACCGAAAACGAGATGTTGGGAGTTTGGAGCCCCCTTTTCCCCAGGAATTCATCTTAAAAATCAAGAGAGATAAGGATGAGAAATGTTATCTTCTAAAAAAGGACTATTCAAATCTTTCACTTCATCGAGCTCAGAAGAAATTCGCTAGCGAACTTTTTGGAACGAAACTCAGAAGAAATACCAGCCTTTTGGAGTTCGACAACACCTTCCATGAGAATATTTCAGCGATTTATAGACTACCAGAGAGTCTAGAAATCTATCCGGTCAAAGTGAAGACTCATGGAGAGCCCCAGGATGCACTAAACCAAATTTTGGCGCCAAACCATGAAATTCAAGTTTTCTCCCTCCCGTTACAAGGGGTGGACCCTGATATTTATGGTCATTTTGATCATGCTTCCTCCTGCGTTTGTAGTGATTTTGTGGGACAAAATCCTTGACTGGGCTAGAGATTTTTGAAATTTTTGCCGAAAAAAAAATTTGTGATATTTTTTCAAGGTTTTCAAAATAAATTACCGTAAAACCTCTAATAGAACGACACCCGGATCGTCCACTTTGAGCCTATATATCTCATTTTCTGTGAAAGATATCAAAAAGTGGCTAACTAATAAAATGTTGCTGA